AAGTGTTTTAGTGAGTCCTTTATTATATTATTATTTATGGAAAGTTAGTTTCAATTTTTTATTATTTTATTAAACGTGCTTCAACCTCTATTAATTATTTTTTTTTTCATTTTTAATAATAGGTTAATAGTAAAAGTGTACCTAAATTTGTTATTACCAATTATAGATAGACATTTTAAAATATTTTGTCTGTTTTTGATTTCCCATTAATATAAAAGTAAATTTCTTTTTACATGTACATGATATGTTAAATCACGGTGAATTATTTATGATGTATGTTAAATAATAATTTATATTTAAAGCCTTCCTAAAAATATGAAGATGCTAGATAATAATATGGTACTTATTTAAATAAAAGAATGGTTCACAAATAAAAAAATTGTAAGTATATGTATAGAAAATAATAGTTAATAAATAAGATACATTATAAATTATAAAACCAGACAAGTAAAATAATATATTCAAGTGTCAAAATACGATCTAAATTACATGATAAATTCAAACAAACTGTAATAAAATGTGTTAAGATAATAAAATAATTTGAGAATTTTCTTATACCCCAACTATATATATTTGCGCATTTAGTACATGATGTTCCAATTAAATCAATTTAGTTACTTAATTTTTTCGTTTCTCAATAAATTTTGGTCCACATCGTTAAATTTCATTAAAAAAATAACGGTTTTAGAAAGAAATTCGTTAAATTCATGGAAAACTATATAAAAAAAACTATATAAAAAAAATTCGTTAATACTATGTCAATTTGTTCTAATAAAAAAAACTAATATATATATATATATATATATATATAGGAATCTACTTTTAGGCTTTTAATTCTGAACTTTACATTGTTGCTTCTCGAGTTACAGATAAAAAGACACAAGATACTGATATATAATGAGAAATAAAATATATAAATATAAACATTGTATATAGTAATCTATTTAATTGCATATACAAAATTATTTATTCTATTTATGTTTCCTTATTTTATTATTTTTAATAGTTCCGTGCATTTGCACGGGCCACGATACTAGTACATTTATAATTCAATAGCTAATTGAAGGAAACAAATCAAAAGTCAGGGATATATTAGTCACTTAGTGCATTACTATGTAAAATTACAAAGAATTAAATGGTTATATTAGTACAAGTGATATTAAAATACCTAAGTTAGCTAAATAATATTTATGGAATGTCCGAACCTAGATATTAATTATTAATATATCAATATTATTTGTCCGAACCTAATTACGAAGCATGATTCTTCGCCAAGTAGGATTTCGAAGCACCAAAAACAACCACGTAGGCTCAGCGCATTCAGGAATTATATATAGGGGTGATTTATCCAAGCCTAATAACAAAACATGTAATTTTGCCACATAGGATTACGAAGCACCAGAAGAAGTCACGTAGACTCAGCGCGTTCTGAATTAATATATAGGGGGATTGATTGAATAATCGACTTTTTCTTTTAAATCGGAACTTGAAGGTTTAATAATATTCCTTAAATAAAAAATATTGTGTAAAGAGAAGTGTTTGATAATATATATTTTTCATTGTTTGTATTTATTTTATTTTCATCATGAAATGAGATGTGAAAAATATAAACAATTATATTTAAAATAAAGTTTAACACAGATTTAAAATATGAACTCCTCCGTGAATTGCACGGGATATGCATTAGTAAATATAACATAGACAACCAAATTTGTTTCTTTTTCTCTGTCCTATTGGCTGGCGACAGGCTGTCAGCAACAAAAATCCCCCTATCGAGTCTCGACTGCTCTCATCTACCATACATATTTCTTCATTTCACCACTCTCATTTTTCGGGTAATTTTTTTTCTTTTGCTATTTTTCTCGGGATTTCGGAATCACCGCCGTGGCTTGACGGATCGTCGACGGTAAGCTTCCTGCTCCCGTTGTTCATTTTTTCTTCTTTTCATGTTAGTTTTACGAGGTTTTAGGTATTCTTCTG